GCAACGTGAAATGAAAAATTCAGGATTTTTGATTGATTGATATTTTTTTTATTGTTTTGGACTTTATTAAACAAGACCGTTTACCCGGAAACGGCGCCAAAAACTTGGTCGGGCTAAACTTGCAAGTGTACAAGTGCCGATATAGTAATAAATTCCGGTAAAATACCGGGTCGAATCTACAAGGAAACGTTTTTTAATTCAAGTCCGAGAGTAGATAACTTTAAATGAAGAATTGAATAAAGTAAAGGGATTTTGATTTGTGTTTTATATTTTTGGTTTTTTCACTTTTTGTTCAACAAGATAATCGTTAACTAACTTTGAGTTCAAGATAAATGATAACAACAACTAAGGCTTCGGAAATCACTTAAATGCTTTAATATGGTTGAATATTAGTTCTTTACCAATAATTATGAATACGCTGTCGCTAATATATTCTCAACTCCGGTTAAGGCAGCGAGAGCGTGGTTTTCGTTACGTGTAAGTCCCGTTACGGCTTACATTCATCTACCAAAAACCCCGTTGAATATCAAGACATCACACCCGTATCATATAAGACCGGATATATTTCTATTCTCGGTACTATATATGTTTATCCTTTAATGTTCATAGTTTAGACTTCAACGTTAATTGCAAGTATAAACTAAATTTAACATACTTCTATGTTGTACACCATAGTCATAAACAATCAATATATAAAGGATAAATCACAATTTATTGGTTTAGAACTTTTATCGAACACCTAGTGGGCATAGAAGTTCATCCCTAACCTTAGCTAAGAAATTAGCCTCTAATGCTCATATTAATCACAATTCAATAATAAATGTAATGGAACATGAAATTACAAAGGAAATAATACCTAAACACCAATGATTTCGGAGGATGAACTTCCCTCCTCAAGAACTTGAATAAAATACCAAGAACAAAAATATAAAAGCTAAGAATTAATCTATGGAATGGAATGTATTTGTATGATGAATTGAGGGCATTATATAGGCTAAAGAATGGCATCTTTTAGTCTATTCAAGCCCAACAAACAGGTGTGGAGGAGATATCTGATCAAATATGGAGAAGATGAAGTTTCCCATCAAGAAATCTTTTGCACGTAGCTATGTTTGTAGCAGAAATCGGAACAACCGGCGCCGGTTATGAGGTGTCCAGCGCCGGTCGTGTGCAAAAATGCACCGGTCGCTCCGCGCCGGTTGGAAACAGGCCGCTTTTGAAAAAAAAAACAAACGACCGGCGCCGAATGTATGATGACCGGCGCCGGTTCCTGCGTCCAAATGTGTACTTGGCTTCTTTTTTCTCTTTTAATGCCCGAAATTTATCCAGAAGTGCCGGTTTTCGACCCCTTTTTGCTTTTGACCCTATTTTTGTTGTTCCAAGGCGCATTGCATGTTTCCGCTCATTCGGGAATATTTACCTGTTTTTGCTTTAATTTTTGTACAGATAATTATAATCACTTATGTAAAACATAAGTAATTATTGTGCGTATCAGTGGGCATCACGCGAGAAATTTGTGGTGTCGGTCTCCTTCACGACCGTTAATTGTGAGGGGGTGGTTAGGGGCTACTACTACTTTTTGGTGGATTTGATATTATGTGGATTATTTGATTATTGATTATTGTCCGGTAGACATCCCAGCATCTTTGAGGAGTTTAAAAGTCCTTTGGTGATCACAGTAGCTAGTTCCTAATCACTTAATTGGGAGTATATCCTCTCCTGAAGTAGCGAGTATGTACTACTGGGCTACTTGGGCGACTTACTACTCAGAGGGCTTGGAATCCCTTTAGGGGATGTGCACACTTAAGGTAGTCGTTCAGTTTCCAATAGGTGATCGGTGGGAGCCGGAATTCCTAGCCTGAAAAGTGGTGTACAATTTACGAGTAGAAAGTTAAAAATACAATTCGGTCACTATTCAACAAAAATATAAAGAGTTATTATTACAGTAATTCTAAAAGCTACGTAGTACGAGCTCAAAGTCCATAACGGACAGATACATAATAGTACCCATACTACATACATATCATACATGATATATACATATATTACATGATGCATAAGCTCTACATGATACATCACATACATGCTATGCAGTATACACATATGATGTGAGTTTTCTCACACTTAAAAACATCGTAACATAGCGGTGAAAGTACGAGTATCGTCTCCACAGGGACGGTAAAAGGGAATTAAGAATTAACTAAAAATCAGCGATAAAGAATAAACAAAACAAATGCGGTCGTGCGAGATTTGGTTGCTTGAGAAAACTAAAATTGCAAATAAATGACTAAAAGTAAATAATTGGGTTCTTCTTAATTAACGACGAAGGGAACAGGGATTGATTCCGGGGTAATTAGATTTCTGGCAGATCAGGCTTAATTACATGAATTTAATTTAATTGAGCCTAGCTAATCAATACTAAGTTCTTACCGCTCTCGCGGCGTAAAGTACAATAATTTAGGGGACCAGGCTGATCTCTCATGCGACAGGATCCTAAATTATTGTCAAGACGAACGAGCTTACGGCCCCTTAATCGCTACTAATCTCTTAGCGAACGATTAAGTGTGTGTGAATGTGTCCTAGAACAAATTAGATCTCTCTTAATTTATTCTATAAGCAATTGTAATTCTAGTGGCCATCTAGGTTACAAAAGATATCAATTAAATTATTCAAACACAAATTAAATGGCATTCATGCAATTTACACCATCAAGAACATAACCATACATCGTGATTAACCCCTTCATCAATCCCAAATCCCTAATTAAACTACTCACAATTCATAATTGAAGAATCAACAGAATTGGGAAGAATAGAATAAATTGTCATTAATTAAAAAGATGAACTTACAAATAATCCCAGGATCTTGGAAGAAAATAGCATAAAAACGGTGTTAAATTCGTCCCTAGGCCTCTCCGTAATGTTCGACACCTCTCAAAAGGGTTAGAGAGGCCTTATTTATAGAAAAGAGGAGAAAAATCAGAATTTTGGTCGATGTGGGAAACGACCGCGCGTAACTCGGGGCTATGCAGGATCGTGCGTACCTGACTACGCACGATCGTGCGTAGCAGGCAGAGAGTTCTTCGTGATTTCGTATCCGACGCACGATCGTGCGTACCAGATGCACGACCGTGCGTCCACTTTTTTTCTCCTTTTTCTTGTTTTCTTGCCCCAACGCTCCCGCATGCAAACGGGGTCAATCCAAATGCTCTTACTTCATCAAAACTTCATCCAAATCTTTCAAATCTTTCTTGATTGCTCTCTAGCTCCTCCCGATTGTCTCTCAAGCGCCGATTGCCGGACTCTAACTTCTTCAATTTGACTCCAAATGCAACAAAACTCGACTCAATGTCTGGTAATCACAACTTGAGCTAAAATTGAGACTTGCAACACCTTAAAGCTAGGAAAACCATCAAATTCCAACCTGAACACGCATCAAATGTGTGTCTAAATACGGACTTATCAGACTCCCCCACACTTAAGCTTTTGCTTGTCCTCAAGCGAATCGAACAACGAGACTTACGATAATCACCACACGGAATTTAAAACAGTTAGCATGCGCACGTAGTTAAAGGGATATTCACAGAACAGACAATCTTAATCCAGAAAATTCTTCCCTAAACTGCATCTTTGTATTTTAGCTAACTTAAATGACAAAATTATTCACAACATCCTTGAAGTAATGGCAGCATACACAAATAAACTAGCTATTGATCAGAAGGACTTGTGAAGGTGACGGTGAATGGTAAAAAAAACAGTCATTTTCTTTTGAGAGATTGGAATATTCTAACAAAGACTCGATGCATTTAGGAACTTTAGGGCTAATCTTAGGATCAAGGAACTTAGTAGGCAATAATTTAGGAACAATCATTTAAACCTATGCAAAGAGCAGGCATGGTGTACAACTAAGCTAAACCGCCGCGGCACATTAGTGCTCTTACGTATACTTGGAGTACGCGGAGAACTAAAGCTAATTTGCAATAGCCTCCAAGTTCATTAAGTATGTTTAGTTTTCCTTGTCATGTTGGCACGAGAACGCCATTTCTTTCGAAAGATACCCAAGTCTCATCTTATTGTGCAAAACACTTACGCTTTTTGACCCGAGCTCCCATTCTCTTTTTCGCAAGGTAAGAGGTCTAGCTATATTAATTTTTCACCTTTCGGATTTTTACTAGACATTACCCCATTCTAATCTCGGCCTCACCAAGGAAAAATAGCAGTTAAAGTTCATTTATTAATGTGAATCCATGCGTACAATGCAATCCTTGAAAGTATCAAATTCCTAAAAAGTGACTGCTCTTACCCCACTTTGGGGCATAGGAACAGTGCCAAAAATGGCTCCTACACAAATTCCCTAAACTTAACAAATTAATCCCCTAATTCCCTAAACATCAACACTGAGTCAGAAATATTCATGGGTAAGAAAACAGACCATTTGGCTATGGAGCTCAATTAATTGGGTAAACAAAGAACAGTCAGGCTCAAAATGGCTTCTCCTAAAGGACTTTTTCAGGTAGAATGGAAAATTTATGAATTCATTCAATGGGTGACTAATGCCTTCATCCTTTCAACAACTAGATTATAGTGCAAGCAATTTAAGCCTAAACACTTCAAAGATGTTCTAAAAGCATAGTCAAAATGCTAGCCAGCTCACAAAGACACAGTTTAGAGAAAAAATTTCAAAAAATTTGACATGAATTTCCTATGAATATACAACTAACACCTGCGCATGCTAACTCTAATAATCACATATAACAAATACTGCCCGACTACCCAATTCACTCCCCCACACCTAAACTTTGGCATCGCCCTTGATGACCAAATATGCACTATGCACAAGGGGGTAAAGGGAAAGGGTCACGCGTGCTCAAAATCAACTCAAGTCATTATAACGAGTACAAGAGTAAAAGAAACTTCCCTATGCTGCTGGTCGGTGTAGAACTCAACTGGGTCAAATGAACTCGGCAATTCATCCAATGAACTTGTAGGCTGCAATCATCAATCCAAACACAATATCCAAGCAATAAAGAGAAAGAGTAAAGAGTTAATGTGGGTGAGTGAGAGAGTGAAAATAGAGGTACAGTCATCCAATAAAATCAGAACACAGAGGCTATCGAAAGACAGTCTACGCGATCAACTACTACTCCGGAGGTGACGGTGGTCACCGTGCATCAAAGAATGAACTCCGGCTAGTCTCCAAAGATGTGACACGAGTGTCCAACTCGGTGTACTGGATGCGCAGGTTGGAGAACCCGGACGAAATTTCATCGTGAATGGTCTGCTGGAGCTCTCTATGGTATGTCTGCCTCTCCTCTCGGACCTCCCGAAGGAACGTTTGCTGGTCTGCCCTCATTTCACGAAAGAACTCCTGCTGACGCTGGTGTGCCTCACGCATATCCTGGAAGAATAGACTCTGACTCGCGTGCATCGTTGAGTAATAGCGCTGTTGTCGCTCTCGCCACTCCTCATGGTACTCCTGCTGCTCCTCGTGCCATCTGTGAAAAGCATCCTCAAAAGCAGGAGGCATGTCGGGAATAGCATGGGCAGCGTCATGGTCCATGGCTGCCCCACCCCCATCAATGTGTCCAGCATCCTCAGCTGCTTCTCCACCTCCCTCCTGAATGTGGATACCTGCCTGATGTGGTACCCCTTCCTCTCCATTAGCTGGTTGCTCTGTTAGGCGCCTCCTTCTGGCCACTCCGGTGTTCAACTCTGGAAGCTTGGTCCACGGCTCATAGTAAGAACTCTCCTCCATGTTTTCAAAGTGGTCGCCGTAACCCATTCCCCGTAGAAGGCGGGTGATGTAGGGTCCAGAAAAGATAACCTTGATCTGGTATGTGGACTGGCGGTGGAAGAGGCCAGCAATGAGAGCACTCATGTGTGGCAGTTTGTTGTTGATCATGCAATAAAGGCACAGAAGGTCTGTGGTGGAGACCTTACCTGCTACCTCGGCCCTCCTAGTGATGGTGGATGAAAGGAGGGATTGGATGACTCGGTATGCTCGTGGGTACAACAAGGTGCTAGGGGTGTCTCGGGGGTTGTACTCGCCGCCATTTCTAGAAATGCTCTCCCGAAATCTCTGGCGGTCAACATCTGGTGGAAAATCAGTCAAGTCTGTCTCGTTATCTGCTCTGTCCTCTATCCGGGTAAAACCTAAATGTCGCTTGATGTCGTAAATGGAGATGGTATGGTCTTCACTGAATGCCCGGAATGTGATCATGGGTCGGTGGATATCTGAAGAACGGATGGATCGGGGCACCTTAATTGTGGCCAAAACCTCGCATGTCAATTCCTTGTATGTCGGCTCTCGGATGCCAAAGAAAGGGTGTTTCCACCATCCCCTTCGCAGCAGCGTCATCACCTCATCACGTAGCACAGCAGCTATCAATGTGGGCTCATCAGGATAATGAAAAGTGCCCACCTCCTTCGTCAGTAAGTCAAGGTATGTGATCCACTGTTTGTCTTCCGGGAACTGAGGCTGGTAGCGGGCCCTCGTTGCCCGACTAGAGCTGGTTCCAACATTCTTAGTTCGCTTCTTTGGTGGCATCTGTCAAAACAATTCAACAACAACAATGCCAACGGGGCTTCCAAGTATTAGAATAAGACTCACAAGTCAAAAATTAATGACCCCGTCAGCGATTAGTCTATCAAGAGCATCAACATAACTAGCACAAAACCAAGTTTAACCAGAATAGTTGAAAATTTTGAATAAAAATCAAAATTTCAACGACACACGGTATAAACAAGGTCACAAGCAAGAATCATTCATTAAAACAGTGTTTGAGAATAGAGTTCTGTACAGAAATAATTGACAACAAGATCAAAATTGGGGGGAAAATCCAAATTTCTCAAATTAGACAAAGTTTAGCTTCAAAAATGAGGGTTTTATACTCAAATGGAGTTAAAAAATTTGATAGACCATCATAAGCATATATTAGGCATCATAGGAAGCAAAGAAATCATAAACCCCCAAATTATTTTCACATTGGCAAAATTTACCCTAAATTGGCAAAATCAACTCAAAAACTAGAGATTATAGAGACAAAATTCATTCACCAAGAGCATTCAAATCAGCAACACACGCCTCATATTAAACAAAACTAAACAAATCCCTAATTTCCGAGCATCAATTTTCGGATTTTTTTTTGTTAGAAAAGCTTGGAGAAACCTCCATTAATGGAGAAGAGAAGAAGGAGGTTACCTTGAATGAAAAGAGGAGAGAGAAGGGGAGGTGCGGTCGTCAGCGAGGGCGGCATTCCGTCGGTCGCAGGTGGAGAAGGGGGGACGTCCGGTCGATTTTTGTTTTGCTCTGGTCGCGTAAGGGAGAAGTGGGCGGCGCTGGGAACCTTAAAAAAACGCGTAAAAATTTTCTACTCACGATCGTGCGTATGGGGAGACGCACGATCGTGCGTCAGTGGCAGAAGCCTCTTTCAGCTATGTGGTTACGCACGATCGTGCGTAAGCGGGGTCGCACGATCGTGCGTCAGTGGCAGTAGCCTCCCTCGCGTTACTTTCAATGACGCACGGCGTGCATACCGGGACGCACGACCGTGCTTCCGTACAAACAGATTTTTTTTTGGGTTTTTTAGAAAGCAGTAAACTACACTAGAGAAGCAAAAATTAAGCTCAGGTTGCCTCCCGAGAAGCGCTATTTTTAACGTCGTTTGCCCGACGCAACTACGCACTCATCTCTCAAAATTCGTGACAAAGGTCACCTCACGTTCGCGGTCTAACGGTCCTCCGTAGTACTTCTTCAGGTGGTGGCCGTTGACTTTAAAACGACCTTTCTCAGGATGGTCTATCTCAACTGTACCGTATGGAAAAACTTCGCTTACTATGAAAGGACCGGACCATCTAGACTTCAACTTTCCTTTAAAAAAATTCATTCGGGGATTGAACAACAGAACTTGATCCCCTTTACTAAATTCTTTTCCCTGTTTGACATGCCGATCATGATAGGCTTTGGTACGCTCTTTACTAATCTTCGAGTTTTCATAGGCCATGAGCCTCCACTCATCCAATTCGTTGAGCCTCCAAAGCCGCTCACGACCCGCCAATGAAAGATCTTTATTCAGCGTTTTCAAGGCCCAGTAGGTCTTATGTTCAATCTCTACCGGAAGGTGGCACACCTTCCCATAAACCAGGTGAAACGGAGTAGTGCCAATGGGTGTCTTATACGTTGTACGCAATGCCCACAGCGCATCATCTAACTTATCGGACCAATCCTTCCTATGGGTCTCAACGGTCTTCTCAAGGATGGTCTTAATGTCTCTATTCGAATTCTCAACTTGGCCACTATTTTGAGGGTGATATGGGACACCCACTTTATGAGTGACCCCGTACTTTGCCAGAAGGCGTGTCATGGGATCATTCCTAAAGTGGTGCCCCTATCACTTATGAAAACTCGTGGCACTCCAAATCTAGAAAACAATTTCTTCAGAAAACGAATTACAACTCTAGCGTCATTCGTGGGCAGAGCTTCGGCCTCAACCCACTTAGAAACATAATCCACAGCAACGAGAATGAATTTATTACCCTTAGAACCCGGAAACGGTCCCATGAAGTCAATGCCCCAAACATCAAATACCTCACAAGCCAATATAAAATTCTGGGGCATCTCATCCCTCTTGGTAACCGGCCCGGTGCGTTGACACCTGTCACATTCCTGCACAAACGTTAGAGCATCTTTAAACAAAGTGGGCCAGAAACCACATTCCAAGACCTTACGGGCTGTCCGATTGAAAGAGTAATGTCCCTCGATTGGTCCTGAGTGACAATGTTTAAGAATTTCAGCTCCTTCACAAAGAAGGACACATCTTCTAACAACCTGATCAGCACAAATACGAAACAGATATGGTTCCTCCCAGAAATAATATTTCAGATCAGCAAAAAAAATTCTTCGTTGATGAGGTGTATAATCAGAAGGAACAACACCCCCAACCAGATAGTTGGCGATGTCTGAAAACCAGGGCACCTCATCAACGATACGCAAGAGTCTCTCATCAGGAAAAGTACCCTCAATATCTCTCTCACTCAAGGAATCAAGAAAGGGGTTCTCTAACCTACTCAAGTGATCAGCTGCTAAATTCTCAATCCCTTTCTTATCCCTTATCTCAATATCAAACTCCTGGAGTAGTAATATCCACTGAATCAATCTAGGCTTAGCATCCACTTTTTGCATCAAATATTTAAGAGCAGAATGATCGGTGAATATCACTACCTTAGACAAAATCAAATAAGGACGAAACTTGTCAAGAGCAAACACAACAGCAAGCAATTCTTTCTCGGTGGTAGTGTAATTTTCCTGGGCACTATCGAGAGTCTTAGAAGCATAAGAAATAGGTTGAAAATGTTTCTCTCGACGTTGCCCAAGAACGGCTCCTACTGCAAAATCACTAGCATCACACATAATCTCAAAGGGCAAAGACCAGTCAAGAGCTACTACCACCGGTGCCTTGACCAGTTTCTCCTTCAAACACTCAAAAGCCTCTAAACACTCCTTTGAGAAGTCAAACGGTGCGTCCTTCTCAAGGAGCTTAGTCATGGGTCGGGCTATCTTAGAAAAGTCCTGGATGAACCTACGGTAGAAACCTGCGTGTCCTAGAAAACTCCTAATGGAACGGACTGAGGTAGGGGAAGGTAATTTAGAAATAACATCAACCTTAGCCGGATCAACCTCAATTCCCCTACTCGATATCTTATGCCCTAGGACCACTCCCTCACTAACCATGAAGTGGCACTTCTCCCAATTAAGCACCAAATTCACCTCTCGATACCTAACCAGGACTTTCTTCAAATTCTCTAAGCACTCATCAAAAGTGTCACCATACACAGAAAAGTCATCCATGAAAACCTCCATAAACTTCCCAATAAAATCCCCGAAAATAGCAAGCATACATCTCATAAAGGTAGCAGGGGCATTACATAATCCAAACGCCATCCTCCGATATGCGAAGGTACCGAATGGACATGTGAACGTGGTCTTATCCTGGTCCTATGGGGCTATGGGGATCTGGAAGTATCCCGACATCCCGTCAAGGAAACAGTAGAACTTATGCCCTGCTAACCTCTCTAAAATCTGATCAATGAAGGGGAGGGCGAAGTGGTCCTTCCGGGTGGCGGCATTTAATTTTCGGTAATCAATGCAGACCCGCCATCCGGTGACCGTACGCGTCGGAATCAACTCATCTTTCTCATTTTTAACCACAGTCATCCCCCCTTTCTTGGGAACCACCTGGGTCGGGCTGACCCAAGGGCTGTCTGAAATCGGATAAATAATGCCTACATCTAACAGACGGATGAATTCCTCCCTAACCACCTCCTACATGTTAGGATTCAGTCTTCTTTGTGGCTGCACTACGGGTTTAGCATTATCTTCCATCAAAATTTTATGAGTGCAGAAAGCAGGGCTGATTCCTTTCATGTCAGAAAGTTTCCGGGCTAGAGCTTCCCTTTGTTCACTAAGTAGATCAAGACATGCAGATTTTTGGGATGGCTCAAGCCCGGATGCAAGAATAACAGGGAGGTCAAGACTATCATCAAGAAAAGCATACTCAAGGTGGGAAGGAAGAAGTTTTAGATTTAATGGAGAGGGTGTTATAATGGAAGAATCAGTTTGAAAATTTTCCTTCTCCACCTCAACTAAATCTTCTTCCTTCCCCTTCACATCACTAGCATCACTTGAGTCCTCCTCTCCACCTATCATGAGACAATCAAAACTAGGGAGGAGCTCAAGATCCTCTGCTGAAAGACTCTCATCCAAAAGAAGATCAAAGAAGGCTTCATCAGAAAGCATGTTAGGAATGCAATCCTCCACCAAAGAATCCATCACATCCATGTAAAAACACTCTCCACTATCTTGACAGGGCCTCTTTATTATTTTGGACATGTCAAACGTGGAAGACTCATCCCCAACGCGGAGGACAAGCTTACCGTCTCCAACATCAATAAGCGCTCGGGCAGTTGCCAAAAATGGTCTGCCCAAAATCAATGGTACCTCCCGATCCTGATCCATGTCCAAAATAACAAAGTCTACCGGAAAAATAAATTTGTCCACTTTAACCGACACGTCTTCAATAATCCCTTGGGGATATTTTACGGATCGATCAGCCAACTGAATGCACATACGTGTAGGTTTAATGGACCAAGTGCAAGCTTTTCATATAAAGCAAGAGGCATCAAATTAATGCTTGCACCCAAATCAGCCAAGGCCCTTTCAAAAGTAAGATCTCCTATAAAGCAAGGGATAGTAAACGAACCTGGATCCTTAAGCTTCTTCGGCAAATCTGTCCGTATCACGGCCGAACACTCTTCATTAAGCGTCACAGTTGACGCTTCTTCCAGCCTCCTCTTATTCGTCAGTAGATCCTTCATGAATTTCGCGTACTTGGGCATTTGTGCTAGTGCATCCACGAATGGTAAGTTAATTTGCACTTGTTTCATGAGATGAAAAAACTTACCAAACTGGTCACTGTCATTCTTTCTAGTCAATCGCGCCGGATAGGGGAGAGGTGGGGTGTAATTCTTGATTGGAACGGGCTGTTTTGGTGCAGCCGCCACCTCTCTTCCCTCATATTTCTCTGTTTCTTTTTCACGGACAGCTGGTTCACTTTCAACTTCATCGGGCTTCTTTTTCGTGGCAGCAGGCTCTAGCTCTTTTCCATTCCTCAAGGTGATTGCCTGAACATATTCTCTTGGGTTTGGCTCGGTGTTACTAGGGAGGGATCTCTGCGGTCTTTCAGACATGCCTTTAGCGAGCTGCCCAATTGTTGTTTCCATGTTTTGCATCCTTGTGTCCGCTTGCTGTTGACTTTGCATTTGTTGGTGCTGAATTTGCAACAATTTCTTGAGTGTTTCTTCTATGCTAGAAAATCTTTGTTCAGTCTCTCTCCTAAAGCTTCCTTGCACTGGTTGAGAAGCTTGCTGCTGGCCTTGAGGTGCTTGGGGTTGATTATAGTTTCTAGACTGTTGCTGCTGATTTCCTTGCCCGTAATTTCCTTGCTGCTGCTGTCCGTAGGGCTGATTGTAGTAGCCTTGTCGCTGATAATACATCGCATCCACTTGCTCTACTCCAGGGGCTGCCGAATGTGCCATCATAGTACATTCATGTGGCGAATGGAGTCCCCCACACATAGTACAAGAAGGACTAAAAGGGCCGGGGGCTACCATGTTTACACTGGGCACCGAGTGAGCAAGTTCCATCTTCTTCTGATTATTTTCCACAGTGGTAGCTAGCTTCTGAATCATACTAGTCAAAGTATCTACCCTTGCAGAAAGGGCAGAATTATCACTGATCTCATACAAGCCCGGGGCCTTCTGGTGAGGTGTACTCCTATCGATGTACCAGGATGCATTGTTCGAAACAATTTTCTCCACTAGTTCTTCCCCCACCTCGGATGGTAAATCAGGAAAGGTTCCATCACCCGAAGCATCAAGCATCATCTTCCCTTCATTGCTGAGCCCGCTATAGAAATAGAAAAGAACCTCACAATCAGTCAAATTGCCCTGAGGGCAAGCTCTCCTCAGCACCTTGAATCCTTTCCACGCTTCAGCTATGGTCTCCATCGATCCCTGTTTGAACTCTTGTAGCTGCTTCTTCAATTTCAGAGCTTTTGATGTAGGGAAGTATTCTTTAATAAATGCACTATGCAGCTGGTCCCAAGTCTGGAGGTGGTGGTGAGGATTGCTGTCCAACCACCTCTGTGCATCATCCCTCAGTGAGAACGGGAAAAGCATCATTCTCACCTGATCATCCGTTAACCCAGGTATCTTGAAAGTCTGGCACATCCTCAGGAAACGGATAATATGCGCCACTGGGTCTTCAGTAGGGCCTCCTCCAAATTGATTATTAGATACCATGCTTATCACTGCCGGCTTGATCTCGTAACGGTTGGCAGTAATTCCCGTTACTTGAATACTATCGTACTTCGAAACGTTTGGTGTAAGGAACTCTGCAATGGTTTGGCGCTGATAGAGTGGATTATTGTGCGGTATATAGGGATTGGGTGGAGGCTCCTGATGTCTAGGTTGAGGGGCTGGTTGTGGCTGAGTAGGTGGGACTTGAGTGTGGTTTTGAAATTGATTGGGGTATGGGTTTTGGTACTGGGTCTGATTTTGGAATGTAGGTTGATTGATTGGAGGTGGGTTCTGTCTCGGTTGGAAAACGGGAATACTCTGCCCTGCTCCTTGCATTCCATAAACTTGATTTTGAAAATTGGTTTCAGGAGCAGTAGGTGTATTTTGAAAGAGGTGAAATAATGGAGGGAGATTTTGGGGAAAAATCGGAGTGCGGTAATTTTGAAAACCTGGAGGGTTTCTAGGTGAAATTGGTGATGAAGATTGGGGTGATGTGTTATGATAGAAATCTGGCTGAGTAGTAGGGTTAGGGTTACTAGATGACCCTATATTTCCAGATGAAGATTGATGGTCCATGATAAATTTCTCTTTGTGAGCCTTGCGGTTCTGTCTGGTGAGCTTTTCAATCTCTAGATTAAGAGGGATTAATGGTTCTCCCCTCTTGGAGCGTGTATGCATAAACAGATCTGACCTGCAAGGTTAGCAGGAAAAAAATCCTACGAAAACTAAAAACGAATCGCTGAGTAAAATTAACCCTTAAGACCGACACCGTCCCTGGCAACGGCGCCAAAAACTGATGTGAGTTTTCTCGCACTTAAAAAGATCGTAATATAGCGGTGAAAGTACGAGTATCGTCTCCACAGGGATGGTAAAAGGGAATTAAGAATTAACTAAAAATCAGCGATAAAGAATAAACAAAACAAATGCGGTCGTGCGAGATTTGGTTGCTTGAGAAAACTAAAATTGCAAATAAATGACTAAAAGTAAATAATTGGGTTCTTCTTAATTAACGACGAAGGGAACAGGGATTGATTCCGGGGTAATCAGATTTCTGGCAGATCAGGCTTAATTACATGAATTTAATTTAATTGAGCCTAGCTAATCAATACTAAGTTCTTACCGCTCTCGCGGCGTAGAGTACAATAATTTAGGGGACCAGGCTGATCTCTCATGCGACAGGATCCTAAATTATTGCCAAGACGAACGAGCTTACGGCCCCTTAATCGCTACTAATCTCTTAGCGAACGATTAAGTGTGTGTGAATGTGTCCTAGAACAAATTAGATCTCTCTTAATTTATTCTATAAGCAATTGTAATTCTAGTGGCCATCTAGGTTACAAAAGATATCAATTAAATTATTCAAACACAAATTAAACGACATTCATGCAATTTGCACCATCAAGAACCTAACCATACATCGTGATTAACCCCTTCATCAATCCCAAATCCCTAATTAAACTACTCACAATTCATAATTGAAGAATCAACAGAATTGGGAAGAATAGAATAAATTGTCATTAATTAAAAAGATGAACTTACAAATAATCCCAGGATCTTGGAAGAAAATAGCATAAAAACGGTGTTAAATTCGTCCCTAGGCCTCTCCGTAATGTTCGCCACCCCTCAAAAGGGTTAGAGAGGCCTTATTTATAGAAAAGAGGAGAAAAATCAGAATTCTGGTCGATGTGGGAAACGACCGCGCGTAACTCGGGGCTACGCACGATCGTGCGTACCTGACTACGCATGATCGTGCGTAGCAGGCAGAGAGTTCTTCATGATTTCGTATCTGACGCACGATCGTGCGTACCAGACGCACGACCGTGCGTCCACTTTTTTTCTCCTTTTTCTTGTTTTCTTGCCCCAACGCTCCCGCATGCAAACGAGGTCAATCCAAATGCTCTTACTTCATCAAAACTTCATCCAAATCTCTCAAATCTTTCTTGATTGCTCTCTAGCTCCTCCCGATTGTCTCTCAAGCGCCGATTGTCGGACTCTAACTTCTTCAATTTGACTCCAAATGCAACAAAACTCGACTCAATGTCTGGTAATCACAACTTGAGCTAAAATTGAGACTTGCAACACCTTAAAGCTAGGAAAACCATCAAAATCCAACCTGAACATGCATCAAATGCGTGTCTAAATACGGACTTATCAACATAATAGTGTACTACGCATAACACATGCATAACGTATATACTAATATACTACGTTACGTACTTTATATACGATAACATATGATATATATACATATATATGAAGTTCAAAAAAAATACTCATACATATTACATACATACACATCGCCGCAGGTGTCACGCCCCAGACCACATCTAAGCGCGTGTACAATCGCCGTATGACCAAGTGACGTCACCCGCAAGTCAACGTGACTTAATCATACAAGGCGTCTATGAACATAATCCATCCATACTTAGTAGTAAACATACATAACAACATCACATTCAACCCAATGAATAGCGGAAATATTCAACGGTAAAGCATGGGTCACAACCGGCCAAAACATGGGCTCACAGGCCCAAAATAGTTTATAGTAAAACAAATATCCATGAGCAAGTGTTTGGTAGTTTGAAAGGAAATAAGGAAGCACGAACCACGTTGTTGAGTATGTTGTTTTGTTGATGACTAACCATGCAGGTGGAACGGCGGACAGAACTGCTCCTAGTTCTATCAGAAACGGAAATTAGAACTATACTTAGTTCTGTTCTATGTGACTGATTATCGTGCATAATGAATAAATTAATTGATGTGCCTGCATGATAATACCTTATCTACGTGCCTAGATTGATCATGCATATTCTTAATGTATGTGGCACAATTTAAATATCTTTCCATGCATGACTAAGCACTCGCCTTGATGAGTTGGCCTATATAGCTTTATTGCTTATGGAAAGAATCATTGCTTATACTACACAAATATTCTGCAGCAATTGACCGTAGCATATTTGGATCCACTAAGCAAATATTTCCTTATCACTTAATGTTGAAAAGTCATTATTAGTTAAAATATTAAATGAATATTTTTGGAAAGTATCTTGGCTTGCATGATCTATAGCACCTTATTTGAATATCTTACTTATATGATCGTTGCATATTCAAATTTGTTAAGAGAACTAATCATTGATTGCATAAATATTTTATTGCTACATAATGTCCGTTGCATGCTTATATTAAGAGAATAAATTATTTCCCTTTATATGTGATGATATATATTCGTGTGGAATTGTCATTGAATATTTAAATACGTAATATACTCCATATCTTTTTTGATATTGCGTGATTTACTCATAGTATGCGCGTATCCACTTGCTTCCATATATATATGGTTGACCAAGGATCACCATATTGGAGAGCCGGATGATCTTTGAATAAAAGGAAAGCAATTCAAAATATTGAGGCAAGTCCCAAGATTAGAAGATCAACTATTCAAGGAAGGATGCTAAAACGGTCTGCCCAAGACAGCCTATATAAACGAAGCAGCCAAAGAGAAATGAGGTGTGCTTGACCGAGCTTCTAGTGAGAAATATACACGAGAATATTTACTAAGTCCAAGGCACCTGAACCTGCTCACGGAGTTCCAGACAGAGTTTCTTTTTCCCTTCTTCATATTGTAATTGGGTTTTTGAGGATTGGCTAAGTGTAGCATCCTCGGGTTGGTTAGTGTGTTGTGAGAGCTTTGTTGTAAAGCTGAGAGGCTCTCTACCCGCAAGGTAGAGATGCATAACTCTTCCTAGAGAGGATAGAGTTGGGGTGGCTCAAGGGTAGACTAGGAGAGTTTCCCTTATAATCATTCAAAGGCTTTTTATTGGAGTTGTTCAAATTCCTCCGAGGGAGGTCGAGGTTTTTTAATCCCTTTGAGCCAAGGGATTTTTCCTCGTTAAATCCTTGTGCACTTTACAATTTCGTAATTCCCTGGACCCCACACTAGAACTGTGCAAAAAACTGCCACGGTTCCACACACACACAATTCACCCCCCCCCCCCCCCCCCCCCCCCCCCCTCTTGTGTTGCTATGTAACACTTGAGATTAATTTAAGAGGATTAATAGTACTACTCATACCAACAGAGGTGCATCTCCTTTTAAGGGAGCTCATCACCCAAGAACTCCAAAGTTAAGCGTGCTTGCACGGGAGTAGTCTTGGGATGGGTGACCCCCTGGGAAGTTTCTCAGGGCGCGCATGAGTGAGGACAAAGTGCGCGGTAAAGGCTCGTGGTGGTTTGTGGGGACAGTACTAAGGGTCTAGAGTAACTACTTCGGGTCCGTGTGGGGCCCCGGGGTGTTACATGCTAACCGTTTCATCACACGTCTTCCTTGATTTGAGTTCACCCGTAAGAAGGTGCAGGTAGCAAGCCCTAGCTTCAACCTGAAAATGGTGGGCCCCCCCGAAGGGGTCAGTACAAATACCGAGCGAGTAGCACGCTAAATATAGAATAACTAGCGTTTCAAGTATAAACCCAAACATAGGGTGATATTTATATAAATAATCTTTCCCCGCAAGTTAAGAAATACTTAATAGTACATATACACTTGGAAAATACCCGATCCGTAGATCACCGTTTTATTTGGGAAAATAGTAATAGTCAATATTCTTGACTAAAAACCCCAACCCACCCATATGCCTATGAGTTTATAAGACTCCTCCTTGTCCATATTTATATACCATAACCTATGAGTTTTGAGGATCATAATCCTTGGATACTCCACCAATTTATAATCCGAGTGTTAAGGACTTTTCGTCCTAGGGTCCTCCACCAATTTATTATCCGAGTGTTAAGGACTTTAAGTCCTAGGGTCCTCCACCAATTTATAATCCGAGTGTTAAGGACTTTAAGTCCTAGGGTCCTCCACCAAAATATTAGTGTTAAGGACTTTAAGTCCTAGGATCCTCCACCAAAATATGAGTGTTAAGGACTTTAAGTCCTAGGGTCCTCCACCAAAATATGAGTCCTATAATCAACCTCCTATCAACCTAGATAGGGTCTATATCATATATATTCATTCATAGCTAAATTAATATATAAATCTTTTGGATCACAATCCATGCAAAACCATGTATTTATATAAATTTATAATTTAACTAATATCAACCGGTATTAATTAATCCATTATCCATCGGGCAACGTTTTCGTTGACCACCATTTCAAGCCTTGTACATGTCAACTTAATCATCATATATATTAAGTTAACAATATTCATTTTATACCTCCTTTACCTTTCAAACATAGCATGCAATTTCATAGAAATTCTCATATCATATTCCATGCATATTCATGTACTTCATTTCATACATGCCTAATCATTTTGGCTAATCACGTGTTTAAATATCCTTTAAACATCATTATGAATACATATAACATTTATTTAGGTAATCTCATAATTAACTCAAAAGTTATAAGATATTAAGCCGTCCACTCACCTCGAATTAGCGCTATGAAGTTCTACCCCTCTCGGTTGAACTCCGGCGATACTCCGGCGACTTTTGACGAACTCCGGCGACAACTCCGGCAAACTCTAGAAACTCTTTAGTTAAGCTCCTAACATGTTTTTATAATCACAAAACCCATATTAATACAAATAATCTCAAAAAGGTTATTTTTCGGTGAACCGGTCGTTTTGGCTTCTAAGTCCGTTCTTGGACATAGAACCACTTTCCAACCCATTCTTCCACACTCATACCATGTAGAACAATCCTAAGGATTCTTCATATGATATATATCTCATATGATAGAAGAAAAATTAAAGGAAAAGTTATGATAAGGTTATTACCTTAATTTTCACACTTTTTCCTAGCTTTTTCCTTCTCTAATCTTCTTCCCTTGCACCCATTTGTGTTGAGCTCGAAAATGGAGGATGCTATGGAGTATTTTCAGAGCTTCTCACTCCTTGGATGGCAGCTGGGTCGAGCTAATGGGGATAGGGTTGATTGAGAATGCCTTTTTGACATTTTTCTCAATCATACATGAAAGGGGTCCACTCCCTTAAATGTGTTTGGCTCCCAAATCACCTCATGGCTCCTTTCCCATGTGATGGTGCGGCTACCTTGTCCAAAAACAAGGCTAAAAACGTGGGTTGGCCCCTACTTATTGTTAGTATATATGTTCTAGCGACAATCATTTTTTTAGAGACATATGTACTTGATCACATTTGGTTTTTATATTTGATATATACATGGTATTACACTTTATGAATGATTGTTTTCGATTGTCAATGTTTTATTCATAATTGTGTTCCCTTGGATTTATTGTAACACCCCCATTTTCCCCAACAAAAAATACATTTAAATAATGATTTATTCAAAGGAATTATCAACTTTATTTGAAAACATCATAGATACAGCGGAAGTCTTAATAGGGAAATGGGTGTTACCGCCACACTCGGTTCTCACATAACCGAATGCACAGGCTAAACCACCATCCAAAAATAATCCAAGTATTTAAGTACTGAAAATTTCAAAAATAATTTAAATGTCTACATGTTCTCAAACTGAAATAAACAATAACTAGGTGATTATAAATACTAAACTACGTGATCTAACGCAGCTCTCATCATCATGCATAACCTTCATCACCTGCACAATTAAAGTGCAGAAAACAAAACAAAGAAAAGGAAACAAAAAATTAGCTTTTTAGCTAAGTAAGGCCCACCCAACCCCGTAAAATAATCACGTTTGGCGAAAATAGTTTTATACATAACTATAACTTTAAAAATTCATTTTCTTCCCACAAAACTAATTTGGTGTTTAAAATAATATTTATAAACTCTTAGTAACTCACACATTCATATACAAGTATCACTTTTCAAAATAACTTTTGTAGCTAAAAATATCACCATTCCGAAATCAATATCACTATTAGATTCTTTTAAGATGGGCGAAACTCAAGATTCCTCAAGCCTAATGAATCGTTGTTGTGTACGACTCATCCCGGAATTCCGGCTCCCACCGACCACCAATTGGAAACTGAACTTCACCCTTAAGTGTGCACACCCCCTAAAAGGGATTCCAAGCCCTCCGAGTAGTAAGAAGTCCAAGTAGTTCGGACAACGTCCCCCTACCTCACAATGGGTTAGACACCCGGGTAATTAGAAACTACTACCGCGGCCACCAAAGAACTTTTAAAGTTCTCAAAAGATATACCGGGAATCTCCCGCCACCAATATTTACCGGGATTTCTCCCGCCACCAATAATCATCATAAACCTAAACTAAACCCGCGGTATATAGCTCTAACCACCCTCCACATTTATCCGGATGTGGAAAAACCGACACCACGGATTTCTCCCGGGTGCTCATCTCTTATAAAATCCTTAATTTTATCATGAATCAAGATATACTTCCAAAAATATTTCTCAATCTCTCTAAATAGTCTCAAAGGTATTTAAAAATATTTAATACCCTAAAAAGTACTTAATTTATATTTCTCAACTACCATATATATAATATCTCCTCAAAATCACATACACAAAATTCACAATTCACACTTAATCACATAATGCATAATAAGCATATAATACGAGGAAACAATTTTGGATTGGCAGAGAAACTTACAATTTAGGATTTATCCAAAACTAGTTCCAAAATAGTATTTAATACCATATTCAAAATAATCCAATAAGGATATTTATAACTCCAGAATATATATGTAAATTTTCATACCAAATTATACATTTAAAAATATATAATTTATCCCAAAAGATTTGATCTCACAAAACTTTCCTTAATAAGGGTTTAACCCAAACAACCACTTCCCAAAAGTAGCATTTACTACTACCGCCAAAATAATCAAATTGGAGTATTCTGAACCCATAATATATTTTCAATATAACCAGTTATAATAGTCTCAAATCATTCTTCAACTCATACCAAAACAATCACCAAAATTTTCCAATCCCAAAAGAACAATCATCAAAAATCACAATTTTAGCCATGATAAACTGATTTGATAAATTCACCAAAAATCACACGTTCATAAATTCCCAGAAAATCATACATCATCATACTCATACTATTATAGCCGATTTATCCATAAAATTTCAGAAAGAAACTCAAATCATAGCACAAACTCTAGTTTATACAATATAGGGGCAAAATAGTAATTTTGGTTGCAATAGTCCTTACCTCGAGGCTAGCAACGAATCCTAAACGTCAAACCTAGTTTGATGGATCATTCGCACGTACCTAGGAAGTGATAGGTTCGAAGGATCTCAATTTAGGAGAAAGAAATTTAGGAAACGGATGAACGAAGCGAATTAGGCAACAAACGCACTTACCGGAATATTGGATTATTTGATCTCATCATTGGCATAAAATTTCGTGTTGGATACGTTAATATTGAAGAGCTGGAAGGGATAGAGCTTGAAGAGGCGGTCCTAGGGTTTTTGAATGAGGAAAATCGGATTAGGGATGTATTTATAGTGAATTTCCGAAGTTTGAGTTGCATTAGGATACAACAGGAACGCACGCGTGCGTACCTTCCACGCACGCCGTGCGTGACCCCCAGACGCCCCAAACCTTAGTTTTTACCCCGTTTCTTCCCCATTTGGACCTCCCCTTTGTCTCAAACACTAAACCAAACATAATCAACGACCTAAAGACCGTGTAAACAATATGAAACACAATTTTAATTATTTCCCAAATTCTCTTAAATTTTCGGGGTATTACATTCTCCCCCCCTTAAAGGACGCTTCGTCCCCGAAGCTCAAGTCAAAACACAGTCGAGATGAAACACTGAAGGAAATATCTTATCAAAAGGGCTCTAGATATAGAATACTAAGAGTTTACTTACCTCAACCACGTTCCTATGGGTTGCCATAGTTCTTACAAAAGAGAGACGCAAAGTTCAGAATACTAGGAACTCTTACAGATCCCTACCAAGTTCTACCTAACATCACAAGATATAGGATACTAGGAATATACTCATAACTATTCTCAAGTTTACTAACTCACAATATACTCTAGGATAAGGAACACCTACAAGCAACCATTGGAAAAATTCCATTCACTTCACAAATCTCAAATCAATCCAAGACATCACAAAATACAACAACAAAAAACCAATCACACAATCTCACACGCGCCTAAGCCATAAAATTCCTCCCTAATAAGATTAGTTAATCCTAATTAATGAAAATAATATTTCAATTCAATTTTTTTTTTTTGAAAATCTTTAAAAGATTTTGAAAAACAAAGGCTTTGTAACACCCCGGGGCCCCACACGAACCCGAGGTAGTTACTTCTGACCTCTAGTACTGTCCTCACAAACCGCCACTAGCTTTTTCCGCGCACTTTGTCCTCACTCGTGTGCGCCCTGAGAAACTTCCCAGGGGGTCACCCATCCCAAGACTACTCCCGTGCAAGCACGCTTAACTTTGGAGTTCTTGGCTAATGAGCTCCCTTAAAAGGAAATGCACCTTGTTGGTATGAGTAGTACTATTAATCCTTTTAAATTAATCTCGGGTATTACAACCACCCCCACTTAGGATCGCAACGTCCTCGTTGCGCCTTTAAACCAATCTCAATAAAACCCCAGAATCTTGCCCCGCTAAGTGCCCGCCCGATATCTAACGGGTCGGCACACTGTCGCAAGGTTGCTCTGATACCACCTGTAACACCCCGGGGCCCCACACGGACCCGAGGTAGTTACTTCTGACCTCTAGTACTGTCCTCACAAACCGCCACTAGCCTTTTTCCGCGCACTTTGTCCTCACTCGTGCGCGCACTGAGAAACTTCCCAGGGGGTCACCCATCTCAAGACTACTCCCGTGCAAGCACGCTTAACTTTGGAGTTCTTGACTAATGAGCTCCCTTAAAAGGAGATGCACCTTGTTGGTATGAGTAGTACTATTAATCCTCTTAAATTAATCTCGGGTATTACATTTATGTTGTCAATAAGTAAGTGGGAGCTTATATGACATAACATAAGGTCCTAAAATAGCCCCAATCAATGATCATCAAGAATGGGATATTGATAATATGTGATAAGATTGGTATGTGGACTACATCATACTTTTAGAAAGTATAGTTGATCTCACAACTATGAGTTGCTGTAATTCATGATGGTCACATAGATAGTTTAGAGAATATTGGCATACCCACCGAGAAACCATTTGATAAATTCTATTCATGTGTCTATGGGATTATCAGCGTATAGAGTAGTGTAATAATCCTCCGAATTGAGGTCAATACGTACTACATGTGCGCAGTGATGTACTTTGACCATGACCAACGCTTGCACTCCAATCGAGGTAGATACGGCATGTGTTGGGTGCATCACGAAGCACATGGAGTAGTAGTTGAGCCAAGAAAGGATTCATTCCTCATAATAGATTAAGAGAGAACATTCTACTTCTCATATCTAGATGGATCATAAAGTCATTGGCCAATGCAAAGATATATTCGTTTTGGATATCGAATATGATCGTTATGGATCATCTAGAAAGATTGAGAGACAGAGACTGAGTTATTGGGATAGACACAATATCATGTTCTAGACTTAGTTGAATGTTCGCTGAATGAAAGGACCGTATCACTATGAGCTCTATATTACAGGGAGTTTGTATAGTCCTCGCAAACGTCCTTATATATTAAGTTTGTCTGGAGAATCGTCTAGGGATTCGCTAAGACCTTAATTTGATTAGTGCTTAATATATAAGGCCCTATGGGTCACACAACAAGTGATTATACCTTACGATTGAATTGTTAGACGGAATTAAATATTATTAATTGGATTAAATAATATTTAATTCATAATACTGAAAATGGATTAAATATTAATTAGATTAAACATATTTAATTCATGAAATTGAAGGAGAGTTCTATTTGATAGAATTAATTAAGTGAAATAAATTAGATTTATTATACTTAATTAAGATGTGTTTTTGAATTAAATAAAAGTGATACTTTTCTTTATAAT